AGATCAAGTGCTGGCAGCTGGAAGGAGTTTTCAACAGTAGCGGCCATTATCGTCCCGGCGTCTGGCAATAACGGCACATTAGAGGATTTTAACGCTCAAATTGAATAACCTCTGAGATGAGAGGTAACGAGTTTATGCCCTCTTCGCGAAAATACCTGCACCTAATATTCCGTAGTGGAAACCGGGGAGGAGGTCAGATGAAATGAAGACACTGAGCCTGAGTGACGCGCTGACATTTCTTGTTTTATCTCTTTCTTTTACAGCGCGGAGTCTAAAAACGGAGGTAAACGTATATTTCTCACAAAAATGCGCCATAAATTTCGCAGCCGTCTCATTTCAAACACTAAATATCTTTTCGCTCCATAATTTCATCTGGCCTTTTTATTGCCATTTGATACAATCCATTAGATTGTCTTATTCCTTTTGGCAAGTCGTAATCGTCTCGCCAACTACCCGCTGACAATCCAAACGCTATTTACAATAATGTGGAATTAATTGCTCCCATTAATAAATGCGCGAAAGCAGCTATTTACGGCCTAATGGTTTCAAAGAACATTATTGTCTCCAAGTCGCTCCAACTGAGCCATAAACTTTGTGCTCGATGCAATAATTAGAAAAAGCCTTGGGATCGACATGGTGAAAATAAATCGAAACAGGCACGTACTCTTTCTCGCAAAACTGTCCGCATTAACGTTAACTGGCTCTCTAAATGTCCAAAGCGTCACGCGGGAAAGGCATCGACGGCACGAAGCACCTCCACCTCCGGGGATCTCGGTGATGACGAGGCGCGATCTCCACTCGATCCCACGCCTCTCTCGTTAGCCAGAGTCAGCAGTCAGGTCGTCATCGACGTGTCATTTGGGAGGAGTTCAGGCATGAGACAAAGATGAGGAGTGCGAGGAAGAGAGAGAGAGAGAGAGAGAGAGAGAGAGAAAGTTAGTACGTCTCCCTTGGTTTCCCTCTTCTCGGGGCCCTTCGAAAATGGCAGGATCACGTCTGGAGAGACACTGGCACCACCACGCCCCCGTCGCCGAATACAAGGAGGCGGTCCCGACGTTCGACCTGACGCAGCACGCGACGCAAATTGTCGCCCGAAATGTCTATAATGATGAGAGAATGAACGCTATACTAGCCATCTTTATCTAATTTCGCAGGCTCTCTTTGAATAAATGCCGTTCCTTCTTAACGGAATAAAATCTTATTTCTACGGGATTAATGCTGTGACATAACGTATTCATCATTCGAATTTTTTCCCAATTTTATTGAGCCAGCTGCGAACGAGTCTTGATGAGCAAGTATACTTTTAATTGCCTTTATACTTTTCGGTGCATTTAGCGATGAGAGAGGAGAGAGGAGAGTGAGAATTTTCAATAAAGATTGAAATGAAAGCTAGAAAATCATTTCTCCCACCTTATTACTGCTAATAAATCAGTATAAATAATTGAGTATAAAAAATTGCTGGTAATTGAAGTAACGATGCCATGTAATTATTAAGATATTTGATGATATAAGTGATTGTAATTAAACTGTTATAAGTTAATAAGCTTAGCTTATGCACTTATATAGGCATTCGTTGGAAGCGTTTCCAAATCTCTTATTGGCATTCTCTATTCAATCGAGGAAATGCCAAGGACCCAAATGGTTTTCATATTGTCTTTTTAGTGTTCATTTTCATTTTATTGCTTGTTCGGGTGAACAAGAGAGTAAAGAAAGAGATAAAGAGAGAGTGATGGAGAGAATCCCCAACCCTTCGAATGGGTTAATTCAGTTACGATGAAACTTACCCTCGAACCGTAGCCTCCCTTACTCCAAGTTATCTTTTGGAAATAATGTCCAGTCGTAATGAATAAGAAATATAAAGAAAGAATAAACTTTCGTTGAAATTGAATTTTATTATTTCTTGAGTTAAGAAAACCGTATATGAAAGTTCCCTAGAATTATATATAATAAGTAATATCGTAGCCTAATAATTACTTCTTTGCTTTTACTCAGAGCATCCATGGGCATTAGATATTCATAAACAATGTTCCTTAAAACGAGTTGATTTTGTTAGTAACATTTAAAATATTAAACACTTGTGCATGATGACTAATGCAAACTAATGCAAACTAATGGAGGATTAAATTAATTTTACGTTTGTTTATTTTAGCACAGAGTGAACGGTTACGATACGGGATATTTGAATTACCAGGAAACTTTTAATTTAAATGTAAGTCGTATATCCTTCAGCTTTCAAATGTTTATGGAAAGTGCGCACTACAAGCAATAAAAATAAACGTGCGCACAATAAAAGTGTCGTTGATTTTCCAACATCTCTAAATGTTAATGTTAGCATGTAATCGAAATTTTCCGAGTACTTTCGCGACAGACTCAATTCCCACTTTAAAAAAGCCATATACGAACATTTTTCTGCACTCGTGGCGCTTTCGTAATATTAGGAATGGTTTAAAAAGAAGGTGGGGGTGCAGTAGTCGCAAGATATTTCCCTCTCTGTAAAGCCATCAGTGAAAAAGTTGGAGGGAGAGGACTAGAGTAGACCGGAGCGGCGGCACGCTGGCAGCACTTAAGACTATTGTTTTCAATGTAATTGGATAGCTCATGCTCTTTGTCCTTCCCTCTCACTCGGGCTAGCTTTCTCACCCTTCGTCTTCTACCTTGGGATGCAGCGTATAGTCCCGAAGGGTCGTGCGCAAGTCAGTCCCTACGAAGCTTCGACAATTATCTTGATTGTTTTATGCATATACTAACGGCTGGTGTCCGCCAGAGCGATTCGCAACGACCTCAACCAACGACAATGATAGACAATATTCTTTCTTTTGTATTTCACTGTCTTCCTTACCTGCGAATCCCCCCCCCCCCTATCACTCTCTATCATTCATTTTTTCTATCGTCTTAACTAATAGGACTATGTTGTTTCACGCACCTGGAGCTACTAAAAAGCGCCATCTCGCTAATCTTAAGAAAAACAAAAAAATATATCTTCAATAAACGAAATCGTAAACTACCATTCGTTTTATCTAAGAAAAAGAATGATTTCACATTAATTGTAGAAAAATTGGAAATTTTCACATAATTTTATTATGGAGACTTGTCCTTATTTATTCAGTTAAATAAATTAAAGACAAAATAAAACATATTTTTATTAACGCTGCGATATACAATAAATAAATACTTTGCAGGAAGCGTAACGATATTAGATAAAGGGAATGTCAGCGTTGCTAGACTGTAATAACTCTTTTTCAAGATCTACATTGACAATGGCATAGCTACCAGGGTATTTTATGTTAATTTTTCTAGTTTTTATGCATGATATTGTATTGTAAAAGATGCATATATAGCATAAAATCCTCTTAATCTCGAGGATTACAATATTCCAGCAATTTCGAAAATTTCGTAGTCTGCGCAAAGCCTTCGTTATTCCAAAATAGTCCAGCCAATGTAAAATGAGCAAGAGAAATGATAAAAAAAAGGCGAAAACGCCTCTTCCTTCGGGGGACGCATGTACTTGGCTTGCAAAAAAGATAAAAAAATCCGCGAAAATGGTATTGTCCCTGCTCATTACGTTTGTGCGCGCGGCACCTCCGTGCACTCAAGTCCGTTAACAATAGGCGTATCGCCGTTGCTTTAATTAGGATAAGAATCTCTTGGCGATGGCGTCGGTCCGAAGCGCCGTATATAAATGCATAGGTCGAAGCGACGTCGCGCCGCTCGGCTCTTTTTGTCCATCTTATGCTGTGGCCTACGTCGTGTGTTTCGTGGCTCGCCTCCAAGAAACATGATATACCGATCGAGGGGAGAAGCGCGAGCCGCGGTCGCGGTTTCCGAAAATACCGCAGGGGACACTTGCCCGGCGCCCCGTAAAAACTCGTCGCGATCGCCACTTGCTAATTATGTAAAAATATGACGAGTTGCCTCCTCGTCTCCTCGTCACCACGCTCGGTACGGTTTATTTCTCATCGAAATACATATTTGGCACAGTTGGCTACGTCCATTTCCCGATAAGCTGCATTTTCTTCCTGTCATCCTGGGTGCGCCGTAAAAAAGCGTTGCTCCCTCTGGAGCGTCGTTATTCTTTGTCGAGGACCAAACGACGTGGTTAGGAAAACCTTGATTCCAATAAGATATTTATAGAAATAATAATATGTATTGATAAAAATAATACGTCTGAAAAGACGTGCCTTAAAAGTACATTTGAATATTAAAGAACTGATAGATGGGATTGCTCGTGTACAAAATTGCATGAAAATCACTTTTTGCGGTACTTTTTTCTATTTTTCATAGAATAAATATAAAATAGTTGGCCCAAAGCGAACCGGATAAAGATAATAAGATGAACATTGACCGGAGAAATGTCGAGATTAAGGAAGACAGAGAAAAGCGGAAAATCCATGCTTTTAATCCGGATTGAAAGTGATCCCTACAGTTTCATTTGTACGACTGAGCGCTGCCTCGTAAAAGCGTTTTTCGGATCTTTTCCATGCAAAAGCCGAAATGAAAATCTGATCCGGAAAGCACGTGGAGGAGCGTTTGAGCTAGCGTTGGTAAAAGGCTGCACATCTGCGCAGATGCGAATGTCGATAAAATGCGGGGCGTCCCGTCCTCGCGCGCCGAGCATCCATGTATCTCCAGCCGCTCTATCTTTTTTCCTCTCATCCTTACAGTTCTCCCTCTACCAACCCATTTCTTTTTTACTCTTGAGCAATAAATAATATTTCGCAGGTGTGCCGGGACTAGGCGTAATGCTTCGAACCTTTATACGCGGCACAGTCGCACGCGGTACCTGTATTCGCCATAGCGCATCTAGCCTTCCCTTCATATAGAATTTTTGCACTGGCATCCGTTATTTTGTGCCAACGATGGCGGCGTCGGCGGCGACGGCGGTAGCGTTGGTGGTGGTGGCCGCTACAGTACCGCGCCTGACTTTCGTTATTATTTTCAATTACAGTTCCCAGAATTTATGACGTTATATTTTAATTGTCGTATTCTCTGCTTTTTTCCAGCATCCGTATCCATCGGAAGACCAGAAGAAACAGTTGGCGCAGGACACGGGGTTAACGATTCTTCAAGTCAACAATTGGTGAGTTTCGGTCGTTAGCGCCATTATCTGGATAATACCTCGTTTTTAATTCTTAAATCATTGTACGCGACGGAATTGAACGTCGTGAAATCAACCGATGTGTCGCTGCGACGAAGCGATGGCATACGAAATTCTTTTTAGCTGTCACGACAGCCGTTGAAATTTGCGTTAAGCTACCGCCGTTTCAGCACGACTTTATCTTTATCGAGCTTTGTAATTATCCGCATTATTATTTGAACTTATTGTAAAAGAGAAAAGTCTCTGCCATAAAGACTTTTGACGAGCTGTCAGGTCCAGGCAGTCTTAGCACTCTAATGGTTAGGCTTTCGTAACTGGAAATTGTTGCTTTAGTTTTCATTGCCCAAATCAATGATTAACGCGTTATAATTCATGTACAATAGACCGGCAAAGAGAATCGCGCGGTCTATAGGCGTATGTTAAACATACAACAAAAAAGAAAAGGAATAAAAGTGAAGCGTAGAATTCAGGAGAGATGACAATAAGTACGTAAAGTATAAATAGCGTGTACAAGAAAGAGGTGTATAAATACGAAGTCGGTCGTGTCAGTGGGTGGAAAGCTTATGCCTCGAGACCATACTGTTGCATACACTCGATGGCGTGTAAACGTAACCATTGCGTTTTACGCGCCTAATCTCGGCTGGGATAAGTGCCTCTTGGATTCTGCTCTCCCTGCGGTAGCCGTTACGTCTGCTGTTTTACGATTTTCGTATCTGGGCCGACGACTTTGTCGACAGGCGGTGCGCGCGCGCGCGTTCAATCGCCTTCCGTCGGTAGTTCCTCTCGATTACTTTACGAACCGAAAAATGCGTGTTATCATTACTTTGTCGCTGTAAATCCGAAGAGCCTGCAGCACGTAGATCATTGTACTGAATACCCTGATAGCTCTGCCTTATAAACCTTCACCTTTATTTTCCATTTGTTTTTATACAATGGAGCACTGATTTTTTAATTGAATTTTTTCAATTGTATGCCGGTACCAGTGCTAACGAGGCTATAAAATATGAAGCTGAAAATTGTTGCTATAGCTACTATGGCTCACGGCGATCCCAATTAATGTCATTAAGTAACAATGAATCGATTTTTGGTGCGTAGGAGTTTTCATAATAAATGAATAATTTTCACAATAAATTCATGATAAAGAAATAATTTTCAAAATAAATAATAAAATATGACCTTCAATAATTGTATCGAATTTAGTATCGATTGTTCTTAAAACTATTGCGTTCTACATTCTACTTTTGTTGCGTCCAATGTATAATAATACGTACGTACAGTCTTTTTTAGCATTATTTAATTATCACTGAAAAGCATTTAAGCAACATTTAAATAAGAAAATCAATACCATTATTAATGTTATTGTCAATTTTAGTTGAAAGCACAGACGGACGAATTATTTTAAGATTATAATAAACCGAACCGAAGATTCTCGTCGTGGTATATTTTTTCGTTGTTATTGCCGAAGCTTGAGAGTGTCAGGAAAGATGTTCAAACCACTTGGTAATCCGGAATCCATACCTTTCCGTTAATCCTCTTTTGATCGAGAAAGGGTTAAGACCGTGGAAAGTGTCTCTGCGAGGTTAATCCCTTGTCCGTGTCGAGGGATGACATTCTCTTTCTCTCTTCGGTCCCGTCTCAAATCCGATCCTACGCTCAAGCCTTAGCACTATCTTATCATCTTGATGAATGTTTTCTCGTAGCACCTGCATTTATAACATCCAAGTTTTTCGACACTTCATCGATTCGTTACTCTTCGTGCGTTAGCCATCATTTTTCTTCACTTTTCCTTCATTTCCTCAATTAAACTGCCCGTTACCGAACCTTTACTCTCACTCTCAATAACAACATTATTTAGCTTTTTTTCATGTATTAGAAAGATTGTTTGTTATTGCTTTTCTTCGCGAAATTATTAAGCATAAAACATATAGTAGTGAAATTTCAATAACAAGAAATAATTGGATGTTTCGTGAATGTAATAAAATTCTTAAAGCATTTTGTGGATGATTAAAAAAAAAAAATAAAAGTAACAAGCCGATTTGTTAAGCTTCTCGTACGTATTCGTGCGCGTTCCCACGCTTTTCCCTTCGATGTCACGACATTGTCTCTCTTAACGGTATGCCTCTCTCCCTGTCTTTCTTCCACTTCAAATTTTTTACCCCGCATAATGAATCGTGATTGCTCACGTATACGGGGTGAGTTCTAGCGGTTGATTCGTACCGACTCTTACGCGCGTAATCCTTTTGGCTAACTTTAGACAGAGAGATCGAAATAATCCACCACGCGTGAATCAGCTCTAGTCTCCGACGTAGACGGAAAGAATCCGCCTTGCATTTACGTAGGGTTATAAAACGCTGAATGAATTGCCGGATCCACCTTTTGCCTCCACCATCTCCTCCTCCTCGTTCTTTTCGCTCGTTTGCCGTGGACGGGCGCAGCTCGTTGCAACGGGTTTTAACGACGACGACTGCACCGCATTCGCAAAACGCGGGTGGCATTTCTATAAGAGAGGGAAAGATAGCGAGAAAGGGAGAGAGCTAGAGAGTAAGAGGGAGAAAGAGAGAGAGAGAGAGAGAGAGAGCGAGAGAGGGAGAGAGCGGATCTTGAGCACGCGTGTATAAATAAAATCGTCGCGACGCCGTCTTCGTCTTCTTCGTTGACGACGTCGCCCTGGCTCTATAATAAAGAGAGGGAAAGGCGGATGAAGCTGCGGTGGTGGATGCGAAGCGGACGAATGGACGGGCGCGCGGATGCGCGATAATTGAGCACAAATCAACTTTAAGGAGGACCGGAGTCAACATCCTCCGTCTCCCTCGTTTTCTGTGCCGCTGGATTTGCGTTCCACTCGCGCCTTTATCGCTTTAACATCGAGTCGCTTTGTGCCAAGATTGTGTTTGCGCGTAGGACGTGTATTTTCGCAGCCTCTCTCTCTCTCTCTCTCTCTCTCTCTCTCTCTCTCTCTCTCTCTCTCTCTCTCTCTCTCCCTCTCACACAGCGGCGGGTGGCTTGTTTTTTCCCGCCCCCTCTCTCTCTCTCTCTCTCTCTCTCTCTCTCTCTCTCTCTCTCTCTGGCTCACTCTCTCGCTCCTGCTCACTCACGATCGTGCGAGCGAGTTCTATCTCGAAGATGCGATCAAAGGTGTGTATATTTTTTCGACTTATTTATAGTGTACATACATGCATGTGCCTCTTATATGTTTTCATTTTTTCGTGAGCCCTGGGTATATACTACGTCGCATGATGTATACAGGCTTGTGATTTCTACATTTTCGTGTCGAGCAAAGAGATCTATAAGAAGTGTTTTTGGCGTTCTTCTTTAGTCCTCCTTTTTTCCAATTTCTAGATACATGCACACGCGCCCACGTTCAAATATGCAGTTCTTTGATTCAAATTTTCGTTGTTATTATCTCTAAGCGATCGTTCCTTCAATGGTATCTTATTTGCCAATTTCGTTTCATTCAATTCCTGCTTGCTACAATGTTTGATAATGGCACGTAGAATATTTGTATTTATCGCTCGATTTCGAGTCGAAACAACAGTTTAATGTCTAGTATAATTTTGTATCGTTTTCGCAATTTTTCTCTTTCAAGTGCAACATTGTCAGCGGAGAGCAAAATTGCAAATTCATTATGCGAGCCGGTAAATTGCGCCGTAAAGCGCCGTGCTGCCAACATTCACACTGCAAAAAAGTATTTGCGCGCATTTTACGGTGTCCGTTATACGAGTTGCCGCTGCGGCCCGCGTAAATCATCAGCAAATGCGCAAACTTTCGAAATTTTTCTAAGCGTAATAACGAAAGCACGTGTTAGAGGTGCAGCCGGTCAGAGGGGCGGCGACGAGTGGGAGCCGTTGGGCAGAGGGGGGTAAGCGAAAGGTACTTAAAAATGTTAATACCGTTGTCCGTTGGAATCGTTTGCGCGCTACCACCACATAGTTGGGCGCAATTTTCGTTCGTCTACGTATTTCGAGTAAAATCGAGCGCGTAAGATATCGCAGTCTTACCCCTCCAAAACGGAACTCATGTTTCCTTAATGCAATTAGATCTAACTCACTCCCCCGTCCTCTATCCTTCCAAACCATGCTCCTCTCTCTCTCTCTCTCTCTCTCTCTCTCTCTCTCTCTCTCTCTCTCTCTCTCTCTTTCTCCCAGACTCGATCGCTCGCTCCATCCAGTTCTCTCTTTCTGCCCTCCACTGTCCACGCATCCTTTTCCCGAAAGCCGACGCACTCCACTAAACGGCATAATGGTATAGGAATGGTCGCTCTAATTAGAATACTGTACATGCTGCAACTCGGCCGAAACTCACTTTCTTACGTATAACAAAGACAAATGAAACCATTTGCGAATAAACAACGGCCCAAGCGCCCACGTTCTTGCACGAATAATATGGCGAATAATAAATGCGGAAGGCTTCCCTTTAAAATTATATTCCTAGCGCGCTCAAATTTAAAATACGGACAAATATTTTTACCTACTTGCATACTTATTAACCGAATTCTTAATTTAATTCTATTAGTTGGATTTTTGAACTTTGACGATAATAAATTGTTCTATTGGAGACTCTCGAAATTAATCACAATGTACATTAATTTCAATTAGATGTGTAGTTTAATTAGACTGCTACATACTATGCACCGTCGAGTTTATATAAATTAAGCTCGGCTGAAAAATATTTCACGATCTATCGAGTTGATCTGTACGGGAAGCGGTTTTCGTGAATTATTACCTCCTATCGCGTTAGCATATTTATTTTTACTAATCATATATCAAATAGGCAAACAAGTATGGCCCTTTCATGTAAATCGATAAAGATAGATAATGACGCGCGTATATGCACGAGTCCGCCCGCCCCGTGCTGTTCTTGACAATTCTGCCTGAATTTGCCATTAATGCCGAAAAGAAATAAGGCGAGTGCGTGTGCGTACGTGTGAGCGGGCCTCGGAGGAAGTGGTAGCGGAGGACGATGATGGAGGGAGGGGTGGGAGT